AGACATCCAAAGATGTCACTCAATTTGTGAAGTTGGAACAGATTTCTTCTAGAAATGTCTAAAGTTTTTGGTGCCTTGTAAGAAGTGTTTCCTGGGGGAGGGGGGGAAAACACCTTGAAATGATCCTATGAAGCAAACTCTGCCTCAGAGAATCCAAGCCCCTTCCAAAGTATGTAGCCAGCTTGTTCATATGAACATAAAAGAAGACAGACTTGACGATAACAGTGACATTGACATTGGCTGCACTGGAACAGGAGAGGTAGGTGTTGGGAGAAGTCTCTAGAACAACTGGAGCTCTCCAGCCTTTGAAGATTCACCTTCAAGGCTGTGTGGAGAGAAAGGGGCACCAGAGACAGGAATCCTGGGTCACAATTACCACTTTATCACTAAGTAGGCACAAAAACCTGGGAAGTAAAATTTCCTAATTTCAGTCACCCAGAAACAATATGAACACCCTTACTGCTAAATAAGATAACTGAATCTGAATCTAAGGTCTGTTTTTTTATTGAAGTATAGTTGATTTACAATGTAGTGTTAGTTTCTGCTGTACAGCAAAGTGATTCAGTTATACATATATATATATATATATATATATATATATATATATATGCTTTTTTCATATTCTTTTCCATTATGGTTTATTTACAGGATATAGAATATAGTTCCCTGTGCTATACAGTAGTTCCTTGTTGTTTGTCTGTTTTATATATAGTAGTGTGTATATGTTAATCCCAAACTCCTAATTTATCCCTCCCCCACCTTTCCCCTTTGGTAACCGTAAGTTTGTTCTCTATGTCTGTTGAGTCTGTTTCTGTTTTGTAAATAAGTTCATTTGTGTCACATTTTAGATTCCACATATAAGCAATATCATGATTTTTGTTTTTCTCTGTCTGACTTCACTTAGTATGACAATCTCTAGGTCCATCCATGTTGCTGCAAATGGCATTATTTTATTCTTTTTTATGGTTGAATAGTATTCCATTGTGTGTATGTATGCTTGTGTCAGTGTCTATGTATATATATATATATATATGCCACATATTCTTTATCCATTCATCTGTTGATGGACATTTAGATTGCTGCTTCTGTGTCTTGTCTATTGTGAATAGTGCTGCCATAAATATTGGGGTGCATGTATCTTTTCGAATTAGAGTTTTCTCCAGATATATTTCCAGGAGTGGGATTGCTGGATCATATGGCAACTCTATTTTTAGTTCTTAAGAAACCTTCATACTGTTCTCCATAGCGGCTGCACCAATTTACATTCCCACCATCAGTGTAAGAGGGTTCCCTTTTCTCCACATCCCCTCCAGCATTTGTTTGATTTATTTTTAAACATCTTTATTGGGGTATAATTGCTTTACAATGGTGTGTTAGTTTCTGCTTTATAACAAAGTGAATCAGTTATACATATACATATGTTCCCATACCTCTTTCCTCTTGCATCTCCCTCCCTCCCACCCTCCCTATCCCACCCCTCTAGGTGGTCACAAAGCACCGAGCTGATCTCCCTGTGCTATGCGGCTGCACCTTTCTCCCTTTAAACAAAGTTTGATTACTTGATCACAGACAGCAAACCCCAAGTTCTACAGTTGTTCCCAAAGTCCACTGCCACAGTTTTAGGACGATTCATTGTCCATTCAGGTATTCCACAGATGCAGGGTACATCAAGTTGATTGTGGAGATTTGATCCGCTGCTCCTGAGGCTGTATGGAGAAATTACCCTTTCTCTTCTTTGTTCACACAGTTCCTGGGGTTCAGCTTTGGTTTTGGCCCCACCTCTGCGTGTAGGTCACTGAGGGCATCTGTTCCTGCCCAGACAGGACAGAGTTAAAGCACCAGCCGATTTGGGGGCTCTTGCTCATTCAGGCCAGGGGGAAGGAGGGGGTATGGTAGTTATAATTGGAATGTCGGGCAAGCCTGCGGCAGTAGAGGCTGGCTTAATGTTTCAGTAGCCTGAGGCACACTGTGTGTTCTCCCGAGGAACTTGTCCCTGGATCATGGGACCCTGGCAGTGGCAGGCTGCACAGGCTCCCTCGG